CAGAGACACATGTTTCGTTTCGGTCAATAAAAGGGTGTAATTTCCGGCAACAGTCAGATTTATCTATATTTAGCGAAGTCAGTATTGTTATCTGTGGTTAAGGTGCGAATATTCTATATGACTTGAAACTACGCAATAAAACTGTCACGAATAATAAAAACGGCGCAAAATTTATCGTTCGCCTGTTGTATATGTCATAAATTTCACGTTTCATTATATTACAGATACATCTACAGTATTTTGTTGCGCTCGTTATTGGTTTGGACAATGGAATATTCCCCGAATTGGACGGGATAAGAAAAAAAAATTGATTCATGGCATTTCCTTGGAAATTATTAGCAGTAAATTTATATCATTCGTCGACTTCTAATCATTATGAACATTATATCGCTTGTTGTGGGGCGAAAAATAGAAAACAGTAACGTACGTACGTCAACGATTCGATGATTATCCACAAAATATATGGCAAATGGTGAAAATATAAGACACCGAGAAGCATCTAGGGGAGAGAAACCAATGCTAGTTTTTCTAGTTTATAGCTAATTTACTAGTTTATTGCTTGAATAATCTAATAATGCTAATATTCCTTTATGAAATTGCTAGTTTTCTAGTTTTTTGTTCTGTCAAATGACAATCAAATGATTGTACTGACACAATGAAGTATTTTGACGTTTTGTTGTTCAGACATATTTTTATGTCTTTTGAATAAATATACACTTATAATAGTGAAAATTAGTTTAATTATTCTTTTTTAACACAAAATCGTGCATAAAGTACTTGTTTCTTTCAATAGTCGACTTGTAAAATTGATTTAGTCACCAAATCATGGCAGAATATCAAAATGGCGGATCAAATAATTTTTGCTAATTTTTCTAGTTTTTGCTAGTTTTTTTCTAATTTTTCTAGTTTTTACTTGAAATATAAAAAACTAGCTAATGGTTTCCGTCCCCTAGAGAAGCATCAATAACAATAACGATGAAATACACAGTGGAAGTTATGAATTTTGCGGTGTATATAAACGAAAAGCAGAAATAGTAAGGAATACGGTGAAAGGAGAGAGAAAGGAAGACGAAACATTGTATCTCGTGTGTATTTTGTTGAAAGTTTGTTGTTTTTTTATGGATGTTTTCATTCGAATTGAATTGTGGAAAAAGCAATTTTACTATCATTGCACAAAGCAGACGATGATATTCAACAAAAGGTAAATTGACTCAAAGACGCAAAAAAGCTTATTGAGCTACACTCTCTTTGTTGTTGTCGCCCTTTGTCTCTTTGTGTTGCTGGCAAAGCAAAAATATAATCGGAGTAAATAAATTGGGAAATTGCCAAAGGGGACCAAGAATATATTCAATTTAAATGAAACACATTTTCTTTCTCCGTCATCGTCGTTCAGGTGCATGTACACCGCTTAAACGACGCTATCAATGAGAACAGATCGCATGGCATTGGAGCACCGGACCTATCTCGTCTTCTTTTCTGCTTCTATTTGCCAAACTCGAAGCAAATTTATAGGCAGTTTTTGAAAAAGTGAATAAAAACGAGTCAGCTCACGCAAAAAAGCATATTGTAACGGAGAATTGTGCTTGGCTATCAATAAAACCCCAGCAAATCGTGCGTATAAATTCAAACAAATACAGAAAACCAGCGAGGCACATCAACGACAGAACTTTCTCTGTATTTTTGCTCGAGAAATGGTCGGTAGTATTCCAATGCTTTTCAAATCAAACGTATTATCGTGTCTTTTTTTAGCACCATCTTTTACCTGTACTTTTTTGATAACATCATCATTTGTTTTGATCAGGTGGTATGTGTAACGTACTTCTTATCTTGTTTTCCATGAATACACTTCAATTTAGAAAAGACTCTCGTTTGAAAGATTGACCTTTATATTCTCGCTGAGTAGTAGAAGTTCATTCGAATGCAATGTGCAAATGAAAGCAATGTGCCAAAGGCCATATTTGATTTCTATATTGATCGATGATTGCACAGCATCACCAATACAAATTGATAAGCCATTAAATGGATGACTCTCTGTATCTATAATCTATTGGCCTGTCAGAACAAATATTTACTCAATATCGAAACTATCATATTACTACACTTTTAACCAATAAATATACACCCCACTTTAACTTTGCGCAAACATTTGACACGATTCATTTGGTTGATTCGCAAAGATGTTCTTCACTCTATTCCGATTGTATCTATCGATATCATCACTATAGTGATTTGCAATTTTCCGATTCGTTTCACTCATCTTTAGTGCGAATTAGTTTTCGTATTCGAGCGCAATGATTTTTGTCTTGCGTTTCATTTTTGATTTTCAATTCGTTGAAGGTTGTTATTTTCTTTTCCCTGAAGTAGAAATGTACTAAATCTCTTTACCTTAGCATGGAATTTTAACCAAATTATCAGTATATTTTTAAACCTTATTTTTCATCTGTTATCTGAAGACCTTTTGCCATAATGCCAATCAACTTAATTAAAGTCAGAGAAAAAGGAATTGGCAAAGAAAAATGTTTGAATTAACTTTTGCAACGCTTCAAAAGAGTTGTGTGCCTTTTTATACAAATTAATTATAGCGAAGATGAGAAGAAGTATTTCATCAGCAACATAGACTGAGAAAATGCTAATTATGAAAGAAAATATCGAGCGTGGTTTACGCAGTAAAAATAAAATCATAAAAAACCATTTGTTCAAAAGAGAATGAGAATCAAATTGAAATCCGATTAATCGAAAAGTTAACAATCGATGGTTGAAACTTGCGTAATTTGTTCTCACAAACACATTTCGGTCACAATATTATCACATAAACTCCAATTTTCGTTCGGTTTTGTTTTGACAATTGGGGTGGCACGCTCGTTCATTCAAAACATGAATTAAAGAGCTAACAACGTCACACACACAGAACGCCCCCCAAAAAAAAGTTTGCGTAAAAGTTAAATTGGGTGATTTGGGCCGCATCATGGTGTTTCTTCAATCGCCCATCAAACTTTGCATGTTTATTTTTCAATGTCTTTTCCTCTCTTTCTCGCTCTTGCTCTCTATGTCAATGAGTTTATCCAAAAAAAATCCATTATCGGTTGATGGTTTTATGGCTATGTCCTGTATTCGATTTTCGTAAAATGCGATGGTGTTGCATGCTTATTAAAGACCAGGCGGTAATGTAATCAATTCAATTACCATATCGATTGTTGTTGTGTTTTCATTTACTTTGCATCAAAAAAACGTGTTTTTGTATGTGGCTCTATTGCTCTCATATCGATTATTTGGGGTTGACCGAATTGTTGGCAAAACGCATTAACTACAAGATAATCGGTTAAACGTGTTCCAACCGTTCAATTTAATATTAAAAACCAACCGCCTACACATGCACGGACACTCCATTGTATAACAATAACATGATTAAGATAATAAAAACAATCATTAAACGGTTGCACGACCGAAAACAAATATCCTAATAATGAGAAACGATGCGAAAACATTTATGTTTTGATCATATTGTTTTGTATAAACATTCACCGGCATGACTCACTTCATAATAACAACTCTTGAGAGTCCATTGTTTTTATTGTATTTAAATCCCTTGAGACACATTGTCTTGATGTTACCTGAGTGGAATGAGATTTCCATTTGATCGAATTGAATCGTTTTATTGTTGTTACCTATTGAAATTTGAATCAATAGTCGCTTTTGTTTACCTTAAAGACGAATCCAATTCGACCATTGTCCACCTGATGTTGGCCTTGAGTAATCAGACTGACCCGAAGGAATACAATTTTCTAAGAATCATTTCACATGAAATAACACATTCCATTCAAATATTTGGTCTAACTAATCGACAATCAATAATCCAAGCGAACAATGTACACCAATATTGATGGCAATAACATTTATATGCCACCAGTCAAACATACAAGTTGATGAATCACTCGCCCACACTTATTGTGTGATATACGAAAAATCAGGTACATATTCTTCATTGTAGAAAATTTACCAACAAATATGTACGTATAGATGGATAAACAAATTAATTTATACCTATCTCTGTATAAGGCGCATACATTTTGACATTTCCAACTGTGAATAGCATATTCGAAGCACCCACATCACATAAATTCAGCGGTTGATGAATGATGCAAACTACAGTGTTGCAAAGTGAAGGGTCGTGGATTTATAAATTTTCGATATGGTATTTGACAAGACATTACACTGTTGCTACGTCTGTAATGCATACACTGTTGTTTTGCTTGTATGATCTAGGACACGGTATCATATCGATGTAAAACTGCGTTTGATTGTATGACACAAACGGCTGTCATTTTCGTCAACACTAGTGAATTGTGGTTCGACGACCACTTGTTAAACCAACAAAGCAAAACGTTTTGTGTACAAACAAAATCGCTTATCGCTAGAATTTCATCATATTTCATCATGTATGCCGTCTATATTTCACATTGCTCGGCCAGGACGCGCATCGCAGTTCACTTTAAAATAGATATGTATATTTACAATGATAACCAATTACAGTTAATGCTCTGCTGCTTCAGTGCATTGAAATTGTCTGTGTAGAGTGTAGACATGTATGGTGTGGCAAAATAGGACTTGCTTCTTTGTTTTTGTAAGCTGATTTTGAACTGAAAGGGCACATCATTGCGAAAATTATAACAAAAACAAATCGCATTAGTTAAGTACTTACAATATTATTCATTCCGTAATAATGGAATTTATGTGAAAGGCATTCGGCCATGTTTGGACGAGCTAGATGCGATAAGCGTCAATGAAATTGAGCAATAAGAATTTGAAAGAAAGTCACTTTCAGTGACGAAATATTTTAATCTTGAAACTAATAAAAATGTTACACATTTAAAAAAAATATCCTTCTTTTAACGACCGAAATTAAAAATAATGTCAAGAGACAAACTGAATCATGTATCTTACTAACTCAAGCAAATATGTAGCGAAAAAAATTATGATATGCTACGGTTTGAAAAAAAAAGTTATATACAAACTCCCGGTGGGAATTTATTAATTACTTGAGAGCTCTGACAATCGATTATTTTACAAAAGACCTTAAATTTACAGGCTAGAGCCAACCAAATGATTCTCTTCGAATGCAACGTAAACCAATTGAAAGTGGTAATGGCATGTGAACCATATTATTTTTCTATGCTCTTCCAATCTGCATCTTTGTGTAGTCTTATCCAGGGATGCTTCATAACGTTGACTAGTGTTGTACGATCGCGTTTTCGAATCAACTGCGAAATAATGGAAAAATCAGAATAAAAAATCGACATTTGCTTCAAAAATGTGGACAAAAAACGTTTGATTTTGTTTCTACTTACACCACTGACTAAGTCGCGTGCCCCAATCGAGATGTAAGATGGATATTCGATGTTCAGCTTCCGAATTTTTTCATAGGTGTGCGCTTGATCCTTCGATTCGAATGGTGGTTTCCCGACTAGAAATTCGTAGCACAAAATTCCCAAACACCATTGATCAATTGAATCGTCGTACGTTCGACCTTCAATCCTATGGAAATAATTCGAAGCGATTAAAATGAGTATGTAAATTTGATTCATGTACAAGTACCGATTATACTCACATTTCTGGTGGTAAATAATCCAATGTGCCACACATTGTCTTTCGTGCATTTGAGGACGTGTGAATAGACCAGCCAAAATCGGATAATTTAACCTGATCGCCGACAGACAACAAAATATTTTCCGGCTTTAAATCACGATGAATGACATTGTTTAGATGACAATAATGAAGAGCGTTTGCAACTTGATACGTGTATCGACCCGAACGTTCTTCACAAAATCGTCCATTTGGTGCCATTTGCAAGTGTCCATACAGTTCACCTTGCGATGCCATTTCCAGTGCGAGATAAATTCGTGAGTCATCATAAAAATACGTATATAGACGCAAGATATTTGGATGTCTGACACATTCACAGAGAAACAAAAAAAGAATTTTAATTGAATTTTATGCAAATTTGAAATTTGTAATGAAAATAATGTGGGATAAACATGAGTACATACCGTAGCCGAGATTGAATTTCAATTTCGTGTGCAATGGTCTTTTCGAGGTGATTTTTGATAATTTCCGACTTAAACAGTACTTTCATTGCGACCATAAAATGAGTTTGCTTTTCACGTGCGACATATACACGGCCAAATTTTCCACGTCCCAACGGAGCGCCCAGCTCAAAGTCATCCTTGCCCCATTTGTAACTATGATGAAAAATGAAAACAATATTATTGATTTAGACATGATGAATTGACTTAAAATAACGCCGTTTGATTTTGTGACATTTTTTCTTTCATCAATTGTGCGTAATCGATTGGGAAAAAAAAACACCATAACCTCAAAGCCATGGAAACTACGATTTGCTGCTTTTTCGGTATTTTTCTTGTTAACTGTGACAACGGCGATTTTTATCAAATTGACGGAAAAATACTCCATTTTTCATGAAGGAAATGCGGGTTTTTCAAACAAAACCGTAAAGAGACTTACTCAACGTTTTCGTATGCGTCATGTTCCTGCATGCGATTTTCTATTTCTGCTGCCAATTCATCTGCATCGACACTCTCCTGTTTCGGCGTTGCCATTCTCATGCGCGACAATAAACACAAAAAATTTTCAAACAATTCCTGCTATTTAACTCTGGTCTGACTCTGGTACAATATATTCGATACATACAATGCAATGCACGAATTAAAAGTGAAAATCCACTGTGAAGGTCGTTGAAAAAAAACAAAACTACCGTCTTTCTGCAAACAAAGATTCAATTAGTATGTACAATATACCATTGTATAAAAAAACACACACAATGGCAACTATCATTTCTCCAATTTCACCCGAAGTCTACACATTTTATTTTGATATATTCTCTTTGCAATTTGCACACTTTGAAAAAACATAAACAAAACTCGAATTGACTTTATTTGCTTTGTATCAGAAAATGGTTGAGAAAAGATAGAATAAACAAAACAGCGAATTGTACAAATGTCGCATTGGTTCACAAAATTGAATAAATTGATATCATTGTGGCAAGCGAGACCGTAGACATTTACATAGAAATACACTTGTTTTCAATACGTGTTTACAATGTTATTCTTATGTTCAAATGTGTTTGTGATTAGAGTAACGAGTTGACATTTCAATCACTTTATGTGTGTGTTGGTATTTTCAACGGAATCGACTGTTTTTATCGAGTGTAAATTTCTCCCCAGTATATTTGAACCAAGATTTGAACAATATATTTCGATGGAAATGTTGAAAATGAAATTTGGTATTATTCAAAAATTATTCTTCGTTTGTATCCATTCCATGAATCGAGTGCGCAAAAATTAAGCAGACATAATCAACGAGCGTGCAAACATTGTACGATGTGAAGCTATAGCTTATCAAAGAGATGGCGTCGATTTGTTTGTTAGTGTTTTACATTGGTAACATTTTTCATAAATAATTCATGATGCCTGTACATTTCTTGCGGTCTACGGCACATTGTTGATTGGTTCCATGCACCGTATGCGCTGTCAGCTCAATTAAGATGGCATTAGCCCGGTGTTTAATTGAAAAGTAATTAAAATATCGAGCGAAAAGGACCAAATTAAAATTCAGTATAAAATACGGTATAAGGTGTAGTAGAGTTTGCTTTGGATGGTCGAATAAATAATAAATTTTAATTTACTTCTCGACAATAATTTTTTATTAATAACACGGTGGTTTGGTTTTGTTCCCGTTGCGCAAAATGAATTCCAGGCGCCACCACCCGACATTTTCACATCGTTTGATTGTTTAAAATCAAATTTATCGCAATTTCTTTGAGCTCGTGGTTCGGTATTTTCACAGCGCGATTATCGTTTTCACGTACTTTTTTATAATAATAAAAATAATCGATGTTATAAATGAATAATAGTCCATCATCGGAAAATAAATCAAATACAATGTGGAATCAAGCAGTGAATCAGCCCGCGGTGATTTTTGGTAAATTTTAAATTGAAGTAATAATCGGTTTGAATCACTTTAATCAATAAAATTGTGGATGAATATGTTTGTTTTTTTGTGTGAGTACGTGTGCTGATTAAATTGGTTCGATACGACCAGAGTATATATTTGCAGTGTTTCGAGTAGATTAAAAATCTTGAGATTTTTTAGATAGATTTCTAGATAGATCAAATCTAAATCTGATCTTAGATCAATAGAAAAAAGGTATAATAAATCTAATCTATCGGGATCTGGATACAAAAATCTGTATCTAACGAGAGATATCTAAGATTTACAAGCTTAACACTCAAAAGCATTCTTTTCTGATTCGGGCCGAATATGACGTTAGTTTTAAGATGAAATCAATTTTTCACAGACTTTTTCATACAAAAATTCACAAAAAAAATATTTTTGTATAGGAGTCATGCTTGTGGTAGCGTAATGACATGAAACTTTACACAGGTTGTTTTTTCCACAAGAAAATTACATTCTGAGAGTTTAAAGAAATTTCAATGCATATTAGGGATACCTCCCATACAAAATTTTCGGTTAGCCATATATTGAGCTATATTTTTGATTGAAATTTCTTTAAACTTTGTGAGATTATTTATATTGATAAGAAAATAATATTCACAAGTTTTCACGGCGATTTGAGTTGCTGCAACCAAACATAGACCATAATTTCAGTGTATTCCCAAATTTTTGGTTCCGTGGGACGTTACACGCTATATTAATATAGTCTAATAAAGTCAAATAAATCAACTTAAAATGACTTCGATCTCAGTCGGTTTAATGTGAAAACGTCCCAAAAAAAGCCAGTCAGTAATTTTCCACAAGGGCTGTTTACCTGTTTACCCAAGTCCCATTTGGACTTAAATTTAAAAGTATATTTCAGATCAGATATGAGATTAATCTAGATTTATCTCGATCTGAGATAAATATAAAAGCTTAGATACACAGAGATCAAAAATCTAAGATTTTGATCTCAAATCTGATCTAGATAAAAAAAATGATCTAAAAAAAACACTGTATATTTGCGATAGAGATACATTTATTGGCTTTATTTGATGGTGAAAATTGACGAATGTGATAGGCGAACAAAAGTCGTTTCGTATTACCAAAATTAAATGAAGCCAATTACAAATTAATGATATAAATATATGCGGAGTATGAATTGAAAAAAAAAGTGAAATCAATTTCAGAAATTTCAATTACGTATTTTTGGGTACTAAAGAACAAAAACTATTCAAATATTTACATATATTTATCTGAAAGTGTAGTTTTCATATTTTCTGTACGGTATCTGTACGGTACAAAACAAAAAAACCTTCGAACTACGCATGCTGCTACAAAAAATAATCATTGTTTTTGCGGAATACAAAAGAAAAATCAAACATTTAAATGAAATATAATCTCATTTATTAAATTACAAGTAATCCAATCAATTTCAAGCATATATCGATTGGCCTCAAACGATTGTAATACTTGAAGTGTGTGCGTGTCAATTGATTTTTGCTTCGAATGTTGCTATGGTCGTGATGAAATTGATTTGATTTTGTCATCTCATAAATCGTGAACGGCAAAGAGGAACAACGTACATTTTAGCGCGATTGAGATTGAATCAGTATCATGTTTATATTGAAAAGGTCTTGGCGTATAATGAACGTGCGGCCACTGACCTGGTCTTTGAAATCCAATACGCTTGTATTTGCTCTCATAATTAGAATCATTTATCTTTGGCGATGGGCGCTACATCAATATGTACAACGGAACAATATTTTCTTGAGACACCAAATTTTTGTATACCGTATTAGAAGGGAAAAATAATGAAAATAAATCAAGTTTCGAATTCTTTTATTGCTTCAAAATAATGAAACTCGGTATATGAGAGCAATTGATGCACGTGCAATGAAAGAAGAAAAATCGAAACCATTCGATGGAATTGGTGTAGATTCAGAATGTTTTCGACAATAAATCGAAACTTATTTTTCACAATCAAAGCTGATTTCTTTTCTAAAAAAAAAATCGATTAATGAAATAGCGATGTATCTTTTTTTGAATTTTGCAGGTGTCGTAAAAAGGTTTATCGAAAGGATTTACCGCCAACCAGCGTCATCATTACCTTTCACAATGAAGCGCGAAGCACATTATTACGAACGATAGTTAGGTAAGTAAAATATAGTGTGTGTTTTTTTCTTCTTCATTTTTTCCTACATTTCTTTTGTTTTTTTTTTGTCTTCAGCAAGAAAGTGAACAAAATGAAGTAATTTAGATCAATGTCTATGAGGAAGCTAGGTCAATGAGAATAAGATGTGAAAAATCTTCGTCGGAAGAGAACAATGAACATTGTGGTTATGAACGAACGGTTAAATAAAAGCATGGCTCACTCGTCGTTTTGTCGTGCATGATGAAAAGTTAAGACAATTGCTATTATCCGCGATTATTCGTCCACTCTTTCGCTGCTTGCTATCGGATTCAACAATAAAATTCAGAGCTACTTAAAATGCTGGCCCAAAATCATAAAATGCGTTCGTCTTCCGCTCGCACACTTTTATTAAAATTGCTTCTTTTTTTAGTTTCACCTGACTTTGCCTTTGAAAAAACCGCTTTGCACCACATACTTTAAGCCATATCTGCGGCCGTTTGACACTGGCACAATGCAGCAAGACAAAAAAAATTTAACGTTCTGAAACAATTTTTCAAGATTTATCTCATGGTAATAGGTGCAATTGTCGAGCGTTTGCAACAATAAATTTGGCGTGTTTATGTCATCCGAATTCTGGCTTATAAATTCGAAATGGGTTTATGACTTTAGCCAAATAATGGTCGGTTTTTTTTGGTGCTATTCCGCTTATTATTAAATGCGTAAGAGGCTAGCTTAAGACCACGCGCGCGAAATATGAAAAAATTCTTCATTTACGTATTATCTTTTTTTTTTCACTTCGTTTGCATCCTTGTTGTAACGGTTCATTTAACATATTTAATAGCAAACGGAAATTACAGTTGAGCGTAATAAAAATGCGGGTTTATTTATGATAAATACAATGACGGCAACAGGAACCCACAGCAACATATCTCAAGTAGATGCGTTTTATAGAGAGATATATATAATTTTCCGCAGATTTGCGTATTCACATTTCAAAATGAATGTATATTCATTTATAGCAATTATTTGTATGTATGTGCAACAATGATCAACTATGTAGCGCACAAAACAAACACAGCGAATTTTCATTCATTTTCCAAAATCACATTTTACTATATATTTTGAATATTGCAATTAAAGTTTATGTGTGTGTGTGAATGGAAAACAAAGTGATAAATTTGCATTGTAAACCGGCAAAATGTATAGAATCGGAATGGCGCACAATATGCATATCAGAGGCGATGCATTGAAAAAGTTTTGCCAGTTTAACAACTCATTTATATCAGCAATTTGTCAATAAGTTGAAAGAGCGAGAGTGGCAAAAATGAATATTATGCATTCATTTTGTAAAATTGTTGAAAATGTGTAAAATACAATGGAAAACTTTCCGCCACTATTCAAACCAGAAGTGAGTAAAAGTGAAGCGATATCGGTACTAGTGTGAGAGAGCATTTAATCAGAATTTTTTTGTTCTTTGAATAAATTTTCAGTAGTTTAATAGCATTTCATTTTATATCGCTGCGCATTACAATGGATGTTTGTCATTTTAGCTATGGCTGCCTTTACGAGCCCATCAAAAATCCCATTGTCATCGATGGTTTGCATTTTGCCACACATACAATAATCCGTCGTTTTCCATGCCATTCATATCATAGAAATTATGACGTCGTTTTCTATATTACTTACCGTTCATTTGCCGGAATGAATACGATGAAAAATCAACATGCAAATTTGTGCACAATTTGACACAAATTCAGTTTCATTGCACCATCCCGAAACACTCGGGGCACTTTCGCATCAAGTCACAATGTTGTTATTTCTCATAATAAATGTCAAAATGTTCGGGAAACTTTTGTAATGAATGATTGACAAACATTTGTAACTAAAAACACTTCTTTTCATTTGCAGTGTATTAAATCGCAGTCCAGAGCATCTAATTAAGGAAATCATTCTTGTTGATGACTTCAGTGATCACCGTAAGTATATATTGATTTGTTTATGTTATTTTTTTATGATTTATTGTTTGATACTCTATCAAAAATTAAAATCTCACAAATCAAATCCAAATGGTATTCAAATTTTAATTCACTGCCCAGTGAATTTTCGTGAGAATGCCCATAAAAAGGGGACACAGAGTCGTAAAGAGTTGTCACTGTTACTACATAATCAACATCAAAAAAAAAAAAAATTACATAAAAAAGGAATTTGGTTAACGGCACATTGCAATTTGTCTAGGGGGTAGACGCAATAGAGAATGAATGAATACCAATGAATTGTCATAATACCTATCTATTTTCAAATACTACAATTACTTACTTATTTAAAGATTACTTGTACTAAAAATGTGAATACCGTGATTACCAAATGTCAAATTGATATCGGTAATAAAGATTTCAAGTTTTTTCCATTTCGTTTTAACATTCACCATTCCGTAATTTATTTTAATTTTTTCTGTTTTCTTTCTGTTATTTTGATCAAAATTGTTTTCGCATTTATTAAACCAATTGAAATACTACACTTAATAGCGTTGAAAAAGTTTTTTTAATATTTGGAAGATAATATTCATATATGCACATTGTGAGACGTTGCTGAATGCATTGACATTTCGTCTAAAACTGAGAATACCAAGAATACCAAGAATACCTTCAATTTCGGTGAATATCTCAAGTAATATTCCATGTGTCTACCCCCTAGCAATTTGTATACTGGACCCATCATGAACTAGTCGCCATTCGGGCCATTCAGCTGCTTTATGATTTGAATCAGATTTTTATGTGACTTTTAAAATATAATAAAAATGAAGTAAAGCGAAATGGTTTCTGTTTTCAATGCGAAAAATTCGCTTGAATTATTCACTACCCCCTTCATAAATGTCATTATCGAATGTAAAACGGAGGCTTGTTCGCGGTTTATATTTAGAATAAAGTGGTCATGAAAATGTCTGTTTTTAATTCAAATTATTACGTCATGCGATGACCCAGAGAAATGATTTTCAGGCATATATTTTACTGTGTTTGATCAAATTGCTTGCGAATTTTTCGCTGAGCATCTGTGCGTCTTGAATTTACAGCAATGCAAATTGGTTTGTAAATTCCAATTTCACGAATCATGCCATGTCTTCAGCCACTGCACAGATGCTTCTGACAGCATATCGTGACCAAATTCTAAATCATATTATTTTATCATAGATTTTGGGTATATAGCTTCTTCGGCATTGAATTTATGATTATTTATGATTCAAATTCGTTGGCATACTTTTCACATTCATCAGACTGAAAATAAATAGAAAATGAGATACAACAAGAAATTGAATGGTTTTGCCAAAAAAAAAATCTTTCTTCGACTGTATTTTATTATACGTCTGGTCAATGCCAGTCGCACTCACGCGTCGATGCTGCCATGCAATCTGTATTTACATATCAATTGTATCAGAAGAAACAAACGTTCTCTCTCTCTATCTATGTACATGGAAAATTAGTCAAGTGAATGAAAATTTGTTCATAATAGGTTCTTTGACGAGCTTGGCTCATGGCTCATTTTGATTTAATTTATATAATAAATATCTTTTTCTACTTCTCTTGCATTGCTATTCTTTTCTTATGTTCGTTTAGCTGAGGATGGTTTGGAATTGGCAAAAATCAACAAAGTTCGTGTTATTCGAAATGAAAAACGTGAGGGTTTGGTACGGTCCAGAGTACGAGGTGCTGATGCGGCCATTGCTGAGGTACTTACATTTTTGGATAGTCACTGTGAATGCAATGAAGATTGGTTGGAACCGCTTTTGGAACGTGTTGCCGAAGACGAAACACGGTAAATAATCGATATTTGTTGGTCTATTTTATTCCATTCATACAATCATAAAGCGTATACGCCCGTATTTATTATTCCAAATCGAAATAATAATTGCTATGAATGTTTGTTTCTATTTAAAAAGTGTTGTGTGTCCAGTCATTGACGTCATCAGCATGGACACATTCCAGTATATTGGCGCATCGGCCGATCTACGAGGTGGTTTTGATTGGAATTTGGTGCGTAGTAAATGTGAAATCAACTCAATGATATGCATTACAATGGATATTTTTTATATGTACAACAGGTTTTCAAGTGGGAATATTTAAGTTTAGAAGAACGAGCTGAACGACACAAAGATCCAACCACCAGCATTGAGACTCCGATGATAGCAGGCGGTCTCTTTGTCATAAATAAAAAGTATTTCGAGAAATTAGGAAAATATGATATGAAAATGGATGTTTGGGGTAATTTTCTTTTCTCTTTTACATTCATGACACTTTTTTTTAGATTTAATATAAAAGAAAAACTTTTTTCATGTTTTTTTTTCGTTTTTTTTGTTCGAATGAATAGGAGGAGAAAATCTGGGTCAGTATTCAAACTTTCGTCGCATCATTTTTTTTTTTTAATAAATACCTCTAACCATGTGTAGTGGATGTGTACTTTCTTGTACAACAATTATTTGAATTTTTCAATTTTTTTTTTTCTAAAATCTAGAAATTTCATTTCGTGTGTGGCAGTGCGGTGGTAGCTTAGAAATTATACCATGCAGTAGAGTTGGTCATGTGTTTAGGAAACGACATCCGTATACGTTCCCTGGAGGTAGCGGTAACGTTTTTGCGAAAAACACACGACGAGCTGCAGAAGTTTGGATGGACGACTACAAACAATACTATTACGCAGCTGTACCACTGGCCAAAAATATTCCATTCGGAAAGTAAGTTGAAGCGGTGTTACGTGGAATTTTATTTTTTCATTTTTTTTTTTATTACAATTTCCGATTGATCAACATGAAATAATTTAACTCAATATTGATTTCAATTATTGTTTGTATCTGTCAATCCAGTATCGATGACCGAATCGAGTTACGAACACGATTGCATTGCAAACCATTCAAATGGTATTTAGAAAATGTGTATCCCCAATTGGCTGTACCTGAAATGACGAACGTTGGCACAATACAGCAGGGAATCTACTGTCTGGATACGCTTGGTCATTTAATTGACGGTTCAGTTGGTTTGTATTTCATTTCTCATTCTTCGACCTGACTCTAAATCACTTAACGCTAATGCATATTATTCTCTTCTTATTTTATCCAAATCACCAACCTCAATAGGAGTTTATCAATGTCACTCCACCGGTGGAAATCAAGGTGAGCCTTTTTGAACTTTACAACATTTATTCTGTTAATATCAAAACTATTATTTCTTTTATTCCGATAGAATGGACAATTACGAAGAAGGGCCAAATCAAGCATCACGATCTCTGCTTGACATTGGTATCGTTTGCCAAAGGTTCCGTTGTGATGATGCGTGTGTGTGACGATAATGAGAATCAACGATGGGAGTTGCGTGAGGGCGGTATATTAAAACACAGCAAATCAAATGTATGTCTAGATACGCGATATGTACAGGAGCATGGCATAACGGCCGAATTATGCAATTCCGGTCTTGATACACAATACTGGCGATTTGTCACAAAACATTCGTGAGCATATAGAATTAAATTTAGGACAAAAATCCGTTTAGAATGAATAAATGCGTAATGATGTATGTCAAGAGACGAATTAGAAACGGCATCGCTCAAGTTAAATGAATGCGATCGAATTAATAATTGTCTACCATCTAAGACTATTCCAGAAGAATAGACTCAAATTGTGATTAATTTTTTATGCGTTTTCTCGCAGCACACGATGTCAGTGATTTTACTTTTTTATGAAACAGACATTCCACATTTGATCAGTCTTGCTTTATTTTATACTCAACATTTCACTGGTCAAAATAGAAAAACATTCCATTTTCGATGATTTTTATATGATTTTTTTATTTGATTTCATATGTTCTTCTTTCTTATTATGTTAATTTCACAAATAGATAAAACAATTCATTTAAAAGAAGATGATGGAAAACGAGCATACAGTGTGAGGGATAATGATGAATTTATGTTAAATGGAGTAAATATTATCGTACATTTCATAAGTAAAACATGTAAAATGATAAAGAAACAAAGTGTTAACGAACTGAAATATATCAATTTATAAAACATGGTGGTTATACATTACCATCATCGCTCATTCTCTATTCTCGTCAAAATGACACAGTGTGTTTGTGTTTGCTTTATTTGTTAGGAATCTATGATTGATTAAGCAACTCTATCGATACAAGTCCATTTCAATCAATGAGAAAACTTTAACATTTGCATTTTACCAAACAGGCCAGTTTCTGCTAGGGGCTTTTATCTTCAAATGTATACGATTTATACTCTAAATAGTGAACTATATTGCAAAATCATCTGTAATACGCGCAAATAAATGTGCATAACTGCATATATTTGGTGTATATTTCGTGTATATTTCGTATATATTTCGTCTATGGCATGTTTTTTTGTTCTCTTTTGTGCGGATCTTCTTCGATTCTGTGTAGCAATACTGTGTGTGTGTGTACACTGAAGTTTGAAATACATCTTATTCACTGGTATAGGCGAGAAATTTTAATCGTATATATGATGAATAGGACGTGAATATTGTGTATAAATTTGTATGAACGAATGATGAAAGCCCCTAGAGTTTCTGTGGTTGAATTCGCATATAAACATCTATCTACCAACAATATTGAAAATAACAAGTGAATTTGAGCGGAAATACAATTGGTTGTGTATATTGAATTACACAAAATGATATGCTATCAGCATCAACACAATGCAACATGAATTATTTCGGGTGAATTAATGACATTATTACATAATTTATTTGTTTCACAATTGTTTTTTCTAGTTATGCAAATTTTTGT